AGCCTGCAGAGAGCAGGTTACTGTCAGTCTTTGGCTTATTGCTCTGCCCCTCCAGGGCTCACTGGAATGCTGGGCTTTGAAAAGGAGTGGGAGCAGCTGGCTAAGTCTCCCTGCGGCTTGTTTAAAAGCTTAGTTGCCGGTTCAGACTTTTGAGTGGACACTGACCATATGATCAGGATCTTTTCAGAGCCAGGACAAGCTCTGTGACGTCCTCCAACAGTGGGCTTTAGCCCACTGTTGGTTGAAATTGGGTTGCAGGAGTGCAGAACTAACTGCACTCCTGTGACCCACAGGAGAAGTATAGCCAACATTACTTTGGCCATACCTCTCTTTTAACCTGCTTATAATTTGAAGTTGTAGGGCAGCCAGCATTTGGATGTAAACCACGCAAGACAATGCCCACATATGATGCTAAGCTTCCATGACTGAAAGAACTGAAATCCAAAAAAATGAAAGGAGCAATGAATAAAAAAAAGAACTAGATGATGCTGGATGTCCTCCACCCAGAAAATAAAGCACGCTCTATCTGACTTACTGCAGCTTCTAATCAACACCGTGAAAAGCTCACAGTGTGCAATGAAATCAGAGTAAGCAGTTTTAGTACAGCTGAGAACTACGCACAACTGTAGAAGACTAACGGTAGGGCTGGAGCACAGCTTTAGGATTTGAAAAGTATAGGTAAGGGTTAGAACCTCTGTCAAGTGTTTACTGTGTACCCGCTATGGATAGTTCTCTCTTCCTGATCCACTGTCATACTGTGCATTGGATCCACTGTCCACTGTCATACTGTGCATTGGTTGCACCTGTTCCAGAGGTGCACTGGAACAGGAAGTGAGGTTGAGTCTCCCCAATGGCACAGACAGCAATTAAAAGCTGACAGAGGTACCAAGCCATCCTAAACTATGTCCTGAAATTTACCGGTAAATTAACAGTAATAATAAAAGAATCTAAAACGTTCCAGCAAGAAAATGACACGCTGATAATAGAACAAGCAGAAACAAAAGCAGAGATATTTTTTCTTTTTCTTTTAAGACTAAAAACAAAGAACTTGGAAGATGTTGAAGGAAGTAAGAGTGAAGAATTCTGCCACATAACATTCCCGGGATAAAAATAATAAATGAACAAAAGAAAAAAAAAGAAAGCAAAGGACGCGTTTTCTTCTCTTTCCACTTGAACATTAGTCTTAAAACAAACTGGTTTTACTAATTCCCGACGACTGGCCTTGAATTACCTTCTCCTGAGCCTCCTCTGAGCTCTGAGATGAGAGTGTGTAATGGGGATCTGTTAATTAACTAAGAAGCAAACTTGCACGGTGGGGATCAAACGCTGGATGCATCTATTGGCTCCTGCGGGGAAGATGAAATGCACTGCGAACTTTAAAGACTTCCCGTCATTAGCGGGGACCTTGGCTGCTCGGAGCCCAGACCCCTCCTGTTCCAACGAACAATGAGGACAATGAGCGTCAAAATGAAACAGGGCATCCGGGAACAAAAGAACGCGCTACTCACCCACCGCGCCAGAGAGAAGCGTGGAAGAAAAGAGAGTGGAGACGCTTGTTCTTCTCGTCTCCTGTCTACTTTTAATTAATTTATGGCTGCCAGCGACAATCACACACGCCGAACACTCAAGAACATTGTGCTGTGTTAAGTCGTTACAAGTCCTGTTTACTCGTAGGCCGGCGGAGGAAAACAGAGAGCCGGACGAGACGCGGAGATGCTGACAGGATTATTACATTTTCAACTTTAATGTGGAAAAGAAAAGATGATCAGAGGATGCGGCAGAGAGTAATGGGATGCGGAGAAGTTATTTAAAGTGGTGCCTGCTCACAATGGAGTCTACCATGTTTTGGGCGGGGTCTTTAGAATGCCACTCAGCTCTGGGGATCTATAAATCATATTATTTGTGAAGTTTATAAGTAGGCAGTCAAATCACAATGGCCCCTTCAGATCTTTGTGGTATGTTGCTATGTATTACCGCATGCAGGTTAACATACAGTAATACCTATTGTGTTAACACAGCTCATTTAGTTTGAATAGGCTGCTAATTTACGGCAATGAAAGAGATACCAGACTGTTCGCCATGTGCGCAGTCGTGTGCTGCACCTTAGATTTGTTGACCCCTGCTCCGCTTGTGCATTTCAATGCTCACTGAATGGCACCACTAACGCATCGAATGCATATTTTGCATGATATTACCGCAACTGGACAAGTGTGAAGCTAGCCTTCTGCTTATCTTTAGCCATTATTATATGGTTACATTTACATTACATGAGATATATTGCGCAATGCTTGATTTCACTTTTCCTGTTAAAAAGCAATATAAATGTTGGGGAAAAGAATATGATTAATATAAAATAATAACAAAATACATAATAAAACTAACTTCTATAGTGCTTGGGGACTCAATAATGTTATATGATGATTAGGCACGTATGTAGAAGTTGCAGGACACCAAAGCAAAATTTTGATGGGGCCCCAATCAGTGACAGATGGCCAAATTCCCTCCTATTTACATCCAATAAACTGTGATGGTACGAGGTGGGCAGATTAGGGCTCAAGCACACTGGTGTATATAATGCTGCATTCTGATCCATACTGCCTAAAGTTCTATACAGATTTGAATGTAGCAGTATTAAAAGCTATGGGCCAATTCAGGCAGCTGTGTTTAGTCAGGATTTCCCTGCAGTGATGAACTGCTCAAAACTAAAGTGGAATATTTTCTGATTCTGACTGTATTTTATGTGGTCATGTGTGTAATCGTTTGTGCAAACATTTAAAGTTATGGCCAAAAGTATTGGCACCCCTGCATTTTTGTCATCACTTCACCCAGAAAATTGTTGCAATTACAAATGTGTAGGCATTCTCATGTTTATTTCTTTAGTTTGTATTAGTATGAAACAAAAAAGTGGAGAAATAAAAAGCCAAATCTGACACATTCCACGCAAAACCCCAAAAATGGACTGGACAGAATTATTAGCACCTTCATTGTCAATAATTGTCAAGAAGTGTCAACATAAAAATTGTCAACATTGTCAAGAAGTTTACAGCCCATGGCACTGTAGCTAATCTCCCTGGACATGGACGAAAGAGAACATTTGATCAAAGATTGCAAAGAAGGATTGTTGGAATGGTGGATAAAGAACCTCGATCAACTTCCAGACAAATTCAAACTGACCTTCAGGCACAGGGTACAACAGGTTCAGCTCACACTATACATCACCATCTGAATGAAAATGGACGCTATGGTAGAAGACCCAGGAGGACCACACTGCCGACAAAGAAACATAAAAAAGCCAGATTGGAGTTTGCCAAACCTTACCTGAGGAAGCCAAAATCCTTTTGGGAGAATGTGCTGTGGACAGATGAAACAAAATTAAAGCGTTATGGTAAAGCCCATCATTCTACTGTTTTCAGAAAAAGAAATGAGGCCTTTAAAGAATAGAATACAGTCTCTACAGTCAAACATGGTGGTGGTTCACTGATGTTTTGGGGTTGCTTTGCTGCTTCAGGCACTGGGTGTCTTGACCGTGTGCATGGCATTATAAAATCTGAAGACTACCAAAGAATTCTGGGGTGCAATGCAGAGCCCAGTGTTAGAAAGTTTCCATCAGAGGTCATGGGTCTTACAGCAGGACAATGACACAAAGTACACATCAAAAAGCACCCAGAAATGTTTCAGCCAAAGTGCTGGAGAGTACTGAACTGGCCAGCAATGAGTCCAGATCTCCATCTCATAGAGCACCTGTGGAGAGATCTCAAAACAGCAGTTGGGAAAAGGAACTCTTCCAATCTGAGAGACCTGGAGCAGTCAGTGAAAGAAGAGTGATTGAAAATTCCAGTAGAGATGTGTAAGAAACTCATTGATGGTTACAGGAAGCGATTGATTTCAGTTATTTTCCCAAGAGTTGTGCTACCAAATATTAAATTGAGCGTACCAAGAATTTTGTCCAGTCCATTATTGGAGGTTTGCGTAGAATGTGTCAGATTTGGCTTCTTGTTTCTCCACTTTTTTTGTGTCATACCAATACAAACAAAAGAAATAAAGGCACTACAATAAGATGCACTATGGACCCCTTTGTACACTGGATCTTGCCGCCAGCAAAGAACTGCATACATTTTTTTGGGCACATGTGCATGAATCTTTGTAAGGCACTTCTGTGGGGCCCTATTTATACTGTTTGATATTGGTTGGTGCAATTAAAGACTTATAAGCTGTAGCCAGAAAAATCGAGGGGGACTGCCCTTTGTACCAATCGTGAGAAACCTCACAGTCACTCAGAATGGCAAAGGGGGCACAAAACTTGGGCCCACAACACATGGGACAGTGGCTGCCACCTCATGTTTCCTCTCCCCTTTTCTGTTTTAAAAAAAAAGTGTTACTGTCCCTTTAAAAACTCTGTTTACCTGCCGTGTGAATCGTGGTGGGAAGCCTAGATCCTTCTATCCCTGTATAAAAGGGAGCTCTGTTCCTTGGTTTTTACAGTCGATTGGCATCAGATCGGTCAGCTCCCCTCCCTCCCACGCCTTGTCGTCAGCACCTTATGTGGTATGTCACCCTTGGATCAAGGGGGGACTTTTGGTTTATGCTTAATTCATGATTATTTTCACTTGAGTTCTATGACTGAGCAATATGTGTTTAAATGTTTTATATCTCAGTATTTATTTGAATTTAATAAAGATTTGTTCATTTCATCTATTAAACCCGTAAAGGTGCAGCGGCCATTTTATATATCACTAATAATTTGTATGCTGTCTTTATTCAAGTTAAAGTGTTACTAAACCCAGGACCCTGCATTCACTATATCTTGTTTCCCACAGCACACAGAACATGGAAATGCATTATTTTAGTAAATATAAATTGCTAAATACCTTTTCTCATCAGCAGTATATAACAGTCTTGTGACTTCTATCAGTGTCCAGCTAAGCACTGGTTAGAGCTTATAGGAGGAGTTTTCATCTTCCTCTCACTGTCCTATGAGGCAGCATAACCCCTGACCCTCTGCCCTGTGCCTATCACATGCACTCTCCCAAAGAAAACAAAAACTCTAGCTATACACACCAAACTGAACATGTGCAAAGTGACTTCAAGAGCTGTGTGCTATCAGCAGATGGATTGGGGACAGTAGAAGAAGGGGAGGATCAGAGAATACAGGATCAAACAGTCTTTTTACGCAGTGTGGACTTAACTCCTTATGTTCCACAGTGAGTATAACAAGCATGCTTTACTGCATATACAGACTGATTTTACTGTTGTGGGTTTAGTAACACTTTAAGGAGAAATGTGCAGGCTTCTGTTCCATGAAGCTGATTCAGGTCAGTGGAATAAAATGTAGAAAACTCTGCACTTCCCACCCCTTTGCAAGCATGATCACTGCTCCAGATATGGCCTGGGCCCTCATTGCTCTGGGCCCCACAAAAGCCACATAGGGTGTTATCACTGTAGGTATGCTCCTGCTGATGATGGTATTGTACAATCAAGTACAGTATGTGGATTGCACTATTGCAGGTTGTGGGTTGCACTATTAATATGTATCAGGTAAATCCCTATTCAGTTCCTGAGCTGACGTCAATGTGTGGTGGGGACATGAGTGTACATGGTCTGCTATTGGCATGTCCATTGGTAACTAATTAGGCACAGTGTTTAGTGGCTTATAATGAGCTTTCAATGGCTCCTAAGAGTCATAGAAGCTTCATTCAACTAGGTTCAAGTTTTAGGTCATGCGGTATAGCACTCAAATCCACCAAATGAAGCAAGATTGTTGTCTTATGTCTTGTGAGAGCTGGCATCAAGGACTCTGCCATTCCAATCTTCCTATTGTTTACATCAAGCCATGCACCATCTTCCAGGGGCTCCATGGCTACCAGTAGACGTAATGGTGATTTCACATTTGTGGCTTATTCATTCTAAAGCTGCCCATACAGATTAAACTAATTGTACAGTCACATATAGATTTGCCACCAGCTATAATGAGGGTCGTCCAAATCAGGTTTGAATGTGAACGGTGGCAGTGAGGGAATTCTTAGAACTGAGACATTGATACATCAGCCAACCTGTATGTGAAAGACAGCAGGGATCCTGCAGTGGGCATGTGAATCCCTCTCCTTCATCGCAAACTGTGTTTTTTAGATGATCAGAACACCAATAAAAGGTACTGGGGTGTCCTGAAGCAGTACAGCAGTGTCTGGATGGAAAACAGATACCTTAAACTGTATGTTCAGACAAAATGTTTTCTATTTTTGAATAGAGTCAGGAGGGTTACAGCTCATTAGAGAGATTTCTCCTCACTTCCTGTCCTGTTGAAAACAGCTTACCAGACAGGAAGTGAGAGGAACTTTCAAACAGCAAAACACTTTTTTTAGTAGATTTAATGGAGCATGGTGGTGGTTCTCAACCACTAGCCTTCTCTTATGCTCAGCCATGCCTTCCTGTCTGCTCCAACTGCTACTGCCATCATGCCAGACTTAGACTGCCTCGCCGAAAAAGCCAGGAGATTTCTACTATTTTTTATAGATGAAGTGCCCTGGATGAAATTACTCCATGGTGGATTGATCTGCACCCCATGAATCTTAATCATACACTGCTATGCCTGTGCACAGAAAGACATAATTAGGAGAGGCACTGGTGGGCACTTGCTGGTCTCCTGTCATAAGGTAAGTTAAGTACCACCACTGCCACCAGTGATTTGAAGGGTCATGCTCCCATGGGGCCCACTATACTACTAACACCATTGATTTGAAGGACTATATTTTTTCTGTGGTCCACTATTCTACCAACACCAATGGTTTGGGGGTATATTCTCCCCTGAGGGACACTATCCTACTGGTAAAAATGAGTTGAGGTGCTATTCTCCCCTGGGGACCACAATCCCACTGACACCAATGATTTGGGGGCTATTTTCCACTGAAGCCATGATCCCACTTACACCAATGATTTGGGGTTCTAATCTTCCCTGGTGGTCACAGTCTTAATGACATCAATGATTTAGGGCCTCTTCTTCCCTGGGGCCATTATCCCACTGACACTAATGATTTGGGGGATAGTCCCCCTGGAAGCCATATTCCCACTGACACCAATGATTTGGGGTTCTAATCTTCCCTGGTGGTCACAGTCTTAATGACATCAATGATTTAGGGCCTCTTCGTCCCTGGGGCTACTATCCCACTGACACTAATGATTTGGGGGATAGTCCCCCTGTAAGCCATATTCCCACTGACACCAATGATTTGGGGAGCTAATCTTCTCTGGTGGTCACAGTCCTAGTGACATTAATGATTTGGGGGCTCTTCTCTCCTGGGGCTATTATTTTAATTACATTGATGATTAGGGGGATATTCCTCCATTGGTGGCCACAATCCTGTTGATTAATCAGTTTGTAATATGCTTTAAATACATATTTTTTATTCCGAAACAAATTTACTGAGCCCTGTGCTTGCTAAGGTTGTGAATTACCGGATCAGGATAAGGTAGTCAGCTTTTTATTTCTGTCTGTGTCTCTGTTGCAGATTTTCCTTCATTTCCTGTCTTGTAAAACCATTGTCAGCAGGACAGTTGGTAGAGAAAATCTCAATAAGATGTAAGAAAAAGAAAATCCTTCCTCCACTCCTTTGAGAACCAAATGTTTTTGGTTGACATACACTTTAGGTAGGTAGGGTGTGCTTCATTTGCAGTTTGGACTCCAATCAAGCTATAAGTGGCCCCTGCAAGAATTTTTTGGTTGGATGATGATCCCATGGCTGTTAGCATTCACGTAATGTCATGTGCAGATCATGTCACCAGCTTAAGGAGACTTTTAGCATCATGACCTAAACCAGGCAGGTTATATAGAGCTGGAGATGAGAGGGAAGGGGAGGCGATTATAGGCTGCAGATTCTGGTACACTCTGTATGTGAAGTCACTGGATTAACATCTTTATAACCCATCTAAGCCCACAGTGGCAATTACTCGCCCGCCTGTGACAGCAATCACCTGTGGAAAGCCACATTTTGGGAGCCTCCATGTTGTGGTGTAGTCTGCTTTGGTCACGCTCCTAAACTAGAATACAACTAGAGCAGAAAGGAAGAAGGAGGGTGAGAAGGGACGACGCTCTTTGTGTCAGTACGACGCTGTTCTAGTGGACGTTTATTCTGATAGGCATGAAGAAAGGTAGATTGGATCTGCAGGAATGTGTGCTTTCCACATGGAACAATGTCTTCACACACACATTGACAGGTAGAGCATACCCCCCCCCCCCATATGTAAATCTAATTCTAACTTCCCATAGCTGATTGCCAAATTGCAGGACATAGTACACCTATTCATGTACCTTAGTGGCTAGTGCTCCTGCATTGTAGCACTAAGATTCCTGGTTCAAATTCCAACCAGCACACTACCTGCATGGAGTTTGCATGTTCTCCTCGTGCTTCTGTTAGTTTCCTCCAGGTACTCCAGTTTTGTTTCCTCTTGATTGGCCCTAATAGCAGGGCCGGTGCAAGGATTTCTGTCTACACAGGCGATGAGGCATTTTGACGCCTGAGGAGGAGAATTTTCAGGAGCCGGAGGCAGTACAGGAATCGCTGCTTGTAGGCAGCAAGGTACCATGGGATATGTGGTCCTTAGAAATTTTAAAGTAAACAGCAGAGGAGAAGCTGCAAAGCATGCAGGGAATCTGAGAATTTGAGGGAAAGAGATGGCCAGCAGACAGGCAGAACTCACAACATGAAATTAAAATTTTCCAAGTAAGCTTACTGATGTTGGATTGTCAAATATAAACTATTGTTTTTATTGTTATTACAGTGCTAGTGTTATAAAATAAAAGTGTATGCTGTGACCATAAAACACCTTGAACTGTGATCCTCTCCTCCTGGAAAAGCCACACTACTAAATGCTGAGACACTTTGTCACATAACTTTGGGAGTCCAAAGCATCGTTTTCTTCAACCCAGCTTTTTTAACATAGGTGAATTTAAAGTAGACTTATACCTTACCTGGGTGACATTTATTTTGCTTGGTGCCTTGTGTATCATAAACAATTATTATGATTTCTTTTTTTAATAAATCCTGTTTTTTACATTTTTTAATGGTTTTTTCTGTCTCAGTGCTGCTGATGTCCCCCATGCTTTTTTTTAGCCACTTCTTGCCTATGTCAACATACTTACCAACAGTTCAGTCCCGGTTCAGGGACATAGTTACCCCTATAGCCTCGGGCCTGCCCAGGGACTGGGGCATCCCACCCAGACCTCCCTCATTCTTTACTGGGTAATTCACCTGTAGCTCTACCCTCGTAAGTGCCACTGGTATTGTTTTGGGTCCCCCTTAAGCTCTGCACAGTCATCAACACGCATTTTCCACACTTCCATCCAAAGTCAGTAAACAGTCTTTGGACTTTTTTGTTTTATTAAGGGGTTAAACTTGGATAGGGTAAAGGGGTTATAGGATGTCCAATTTGAAGAATATGAAGAAACAGAATAATGAGGACTTTTATTGCTATGGCACACGTAGAAAAAAACAGCAAGGACTTGACTGCATTCCAGCAGGAACCATTACAGTCCTTAGTAATCTTTTCTAGAAGCTTGATGTCCCTTGAGTGGATTTCTAGCAATGTGAAAATGTGTAGGAGCTGTTGGTCTCCTCGGTACACAGAATACCAGCCCACCTGGCTACGCTATCTGATCCCAGGACAAGGGATTGGGTAAGCTACGAACTGTCCCCTGAAGACTTGCCAGAACTAGCATCCAGCAGACTTCTCCCTTCTAGGCCCTGGGGGGTGTAGAGGTACTCACACTGTCCTTGTCCTACAGCTGTGGATAGAATTGCTTTCAGGCCTTTTAGCTGGGTTGGTTCCTCTGCAAGCTTTGCAGGCTGTCCTTCCCCCGGTGGACTGCAAGGCAGTGGGGCTCCATCTTTCAGCTTCTCCTCAACTTCCAGCCTCCAGCCTGAAAGCAGAACCCCCCTCCTCTGGGGCTCCCTCCCAGGCTACACAGCAACACCTCTCAGCAATCCATCTTCCACCCGACTCCCCTACTATCATGGCTCTCTCATATTTATGGGCTACTCTACCACACCATCAGGGCCTCTTAGCCTGGGATTGGTTAGACTCCCATGAATATGCAGATTGAGATCTCCACCCTTCTGTCTATTGGCTTCTGGAAGCTTCCATGGACCTCCAGAACCAGGTGGAGGTGATAGAGTCCCAACCTGCTGAGTCATCCAGCCTGACCTCACTGCCAGGAGCCAAAAATAAATTTACCTTACACTAGCACCACCTAGTGGGCGCTAAACACCCA